CTGCCAATGCTCCCCGCCTCCTCTGTGTTCTTCCCAACACCACTCTTCAAAGTCTGGCCCACTTGTGCCACAATGTGCTCCCCAATTTCAGTCTGTCCTATTGTACATATGAGTAAGATGTAGAAACATCAGCTCTTGTGATGCTTTTCAAACACCTTATGTTAGTAAAGCTGCTTCTTTTCTTACCAACCACTCCCGTGGTTCCATCTCCAATTTCATCATCCTGGGATTTGGACAGTTCAACCATCAGTTTGGCAATCTGATGATCCACATCCATCATGCTGAGAATGGTGGCACCGTCATTCGTTACAGTGACATCGCCATCCTTATCTACCATCATCTTATCCAGCCCTAAAGGACAAAAGTTCAGAAGGACGTTGGCAAAAGAACGTGTAACCAGGAACTAGAGGTAACATCTCAAATCTCAAGCAATTCTTACCTGAAATTCATTAGAAACAAATAATCCAACACTCATAAAACATCCACCAGATATCCTTCCACCAGACAATCCAAACAGTCTAAGGGCTTTAAACCAAAGAAATGCAGACCACCCACCATATACAGAACACCACTAAATAGAGCACTAACTCACGACACAGGTGTGCTCTGGAACACGCTAATGAGTGAAGAAAGGCCTATGTAAAGTTGTGAGCACACTGTTAACTGTAAGGAGCCCCCACAGCGTCTTGGCTGACCTAAACTGGAGGACTGCTCCACTGCATTTCTGAAGGTGTTATTGACTGTACTATGAACTTAATCCTTTATTTAAAATATCAATGGCTCTCACCGTTTGGTCCCAGTGATGTTCTCATTGTGTTTGCTACAGCTTTTGCAGCCATGATGTGAGACTAAATGAAACAAAAAAGCAAATACCCAGTTACATATCATTTCAACAATTAAAGGCATATAGTTGATGTTTACGGGGGGGGGGGGGGGGACGGGGACGGACCTTGGGATGTAATCTTTAAAATCTAGAAATTTCTATACCAATAGAGGTCTGACTTGAGCAGTAACACTCACAACTAGAAGCTTTAGCGTCAAGTGCTTTGTGTTTGGCATACTCAGCACGGGAAGGAGGCAGGCTGCCTCCATTACTGACTTGAGAACACAAACACAACACCTTCAGTTTTCACCAAAGCCCACTGTTAGAAATACCACGTCAATCCCACAAGGGAGCACCACCCTTGCTAACATTCTTAGCAAGCACTATTTTCAAAAGGAAAGCTCTGAATGGTGTCTAGGAATTTAGTACCAGTGACCCCATGGGGCTCAGAACTCAGACTGCTGTTTTAAACTGCTCTAGAACTCATCTTTCCCCCGAAATTTGGTCTGTAACAATGGCAGACCAAACTTAGCCTCGAGAGACACTAGAGCGAACAAGGGTTGGAAGTGCACGTCACTGGGAGAGTGACTGAGATGGCTCAGTGGTCAAGGTCACTTGCTCTTACAGAAGACCCATGTTCAGTTTCCAGCACCACATGGCAGCTCCCAATGGCCTGTACTTGAGTTTCAGGTGATCTGATGCCCTCTTCTGGCCTCCACAGGCACCAGAGTGCACATACATACGTGAAAGTACTCATCCATACACATAAAACAAATCTAAAGTAAAAACCCAAACCAACACACACATCCCATTATTTCACAAAGCTACCCTGTCTTCACTAAACAGCAATGTTACATGTATAACATCCTTGTTTAAAAGTAATGTTCTTTATGATTTATTTTCAGTAAAGGTTTGATTTGTATGCCACCACCCCGGCAGGCCTTGACCTCTACCCTCCAGGAATGCAACCCACAGCTTCACTGCAGAATCTGGTCTGGGCCATTAGTTTTCATTGAAACTCTTCTCTTCTAACTCGGGTGTTAATAACAACCATCTTCCCACACCAAAATTAACATTACTGTTACTAAAGTATTAACAGTGCAAGCCTGAAAGACCCCTCCTCTGGTCCCAGATACACCCGGCTCTCATTTCCTTCAATGTCATGTTCTTTTATTCTTGTCACCACTAGCTTAACTCAGGTCAAAACCACCCTACAGAATTCTAAAACCACATCCCATGCACTTCCTAATTGCTAATTAACTGATTTTCTAGAGTCCTTTAACAATTCCAAAGGTTTAAAAGGACTCGCAGTGCCTTAATACTGGAGCTCAAAAGCAAAGCACTTGAGAGCACCCCTGGCTCTCCCTGGTGCTCCAACTCAATGTTCTCACCCGCAAGGTGCAGAGGAATGCAAACTTCTCTAACCACAGAGACCTTGAGTTTTCAGAACTGTGCAAGGACACATGCTCATTAACTTTTCTTGTCATCCCTAATGGCTGACTACATAACACCAAGTTCCATTTTTCCTTTGCAAACCCTGGTGACTCTTAAAATGCACTTTGAGGTATGTATTCACAATGGGCTCTTTGAAAAGCACCACAGGGAAACGTCTCTCTGTGCCCAAGGATACCGGACACCTGAGCTTTGTTGCTCAAACACGTATGTATTGAGCTGAGGCCAACAGCTGAACACCGTAGTACACAGAACAGCAAGGGTGAGCTCACGGCTCTAGACCACTAGCTGTGATGCAGCTGGAGGCAGACTGACGTCATGGCCCGTCTCTCTCAGCTGCTGTGAAATCTGTCAACTTCTCTATGGCCCTGCCCTAAGGGCCTAATTCTAGAAGCAGACCTATCTTGAGTGAGGGTCACATGCAATAGTCCATGTAGTTAGCACAAATGGCAGACCCAGCACAACTGTTAGCATTAATTACACTGGTAAAATTTCTGCCTGTTGGAATGTTTCTTAATTTGGAAGTACCTTAGGGGTGTGTGTGGGGGGGGGGGGGGGTTGGAACCGAATACAATGCATATGACTTGAGAAAAAAAATTCCCCCTAGGAAGGAAACAGAGCCAAGCATCTACAATTGCTCTGTCCTCTTTTGTCACTCCAATACACCTGTCAAGCCGCCGGCATGACAGACAGTTCCCATTGGGAAACCAGTAAAGTTCCCATTGGGAAACCAGTAACTGGAGTCAGTGAGCAGGTGTATTACTTCTAAGTCTGTTTTTAAATAAGACCCTAACATTAGGAGAACAAGGCAGAGGCATAAAAGGCACACCTAACACCCAAGATGCAGCTCCCTCCTTGAGCGTTTTCTGTGGCAACACCTGTCAACGAGATTACTTTTCTTTTTTGGTTTCCCTGTGTAGCTTTGGAGCCTGTCCTGGAACTAGCTCTTGTAGTAGACCAGGCTGGTCTCGAACTCAGAGAGAATCTCTTCCTCTGCCTCCCAAGTGCTGAGACTAAAGGTGAGTGCCACCACTCTCCGGCTGATATTCCTTTCTTAATCTGAGTTCTAGCTCGGGGTCCGGGCCCTTTTTATCCCTTTCCTTCTATAGGACTTTCCTTCCTACTCATCAGTTCGGCTCTGCCTTCCTCCAGGATAAGTTCTTTGTTTCCCTGTGATGGGGTTCCAAGAGTTCCAACTTTGGGGAGGCATCACAATTTGCAGCCAGGTGTGCGCTCCTGAAACTGTCTCCTTCCATTCCAAAAATACGTGTTTTCTGACCCAAGAGGATGTACGGTCTCCTCTGAACACAATGCTCTGGCCCTTGCAAACACGTGTGTGCATGTGAGTGTGTGTGCATCACACAGTTCCTTCCATCAAAGTTGGAAGAGCTCCCTCCGCTGTCACTTGTCATCCCTCTTACAAGCGGCCTGCCGGCGAGTCCACTTTCAGCTTGGGGGAGCCGCAGGCCCGATCCCCAGGCGAGCGGGAGGGGTGAGCCCCACCCAGGGCGGGAGAGCCGGCCGCTCTCCCCCATCACCTCCGGGCTTAGGCCTCCACGACCTCTCTCGCGCGCGCACAGGGGACGGGTGTGTACACGGAGCCCACGCGGGCTCCTCGGAACCGCAGATTCTCGACCTTTTGGGCCAGCACATGGCCGAACCGCTCTCACGCAGGCGCAGAAGAGCGCTCGGGCCGCCTCCCTTCATCCCGCTGCCTCGCGTTCCGGGCCGTTACCTTGAGGGCCTCAAGCCCCATGAGACGGGACTTGCGGTCTTGATCCTTGATGATGAGGAAGGGGCGCCCATACTCATCGAAGGCGAGGGTCCCCACGGACGCCATGCTGGGCGAGCTACAAGAGACGCTTTCCAACAACCGGCAGGGACCACTCCGGAATAGAGAAGGCACCTTCCTCTCGCGAGACGACGCAAAGTCTCGCGCGCGTGCGCATTACGGACCGCCCGAGATTTTTTTTCTTTTCGACTGTGACTCTTTTAACGCCACAGAGTACCTTCTGGAATCCGCCGCTCTTGGAAACTTCTATCATCCAGTAGGGGATATTCCAAAACTCGGAAGGCGATGCCTAGAACCCAAACGCTACTACTAGCTACTACTAGCCCTAATTCAGCCATTTATTCAGTGTTTTGATTTCTGAGAGTTTCTGAATAACGGAGTCGTAGCAGGGAGTTAATGTCCCTAAGATATTTTTTCCTTGATTCCCACCCCGGCTCCGGGAACATGGTAGATTCCACTTCCGGTCTCCCCGGAAGTTTCGCGATGGAGAGAGGAGGTGAGACTTGGGCGGCATGGCGGCCGGCTCCTCTGTTAGCTGTGGAGCGGGCGAGCGTGGGGCGCGGGTGCACGGCCGGCAGCCGGCGTGGTCGCGGGCGCGCGTGGATGTCGCGCTCTGCGCCTGCGCCGTCCTGCACGCCCCTGACGGTTGCATGCCGATTAGTGCTCAGCCGGATCTTAAGCCCGGGGCTGCTGGACTCGGCGCCGTGGTGGCCTAGCCGCTGCTTAGTGTTACGTTGTCTCCACCTAGCAGTATACCCGTGGTCGTTGAGGGAGCTCAGTGCCTGGTCGTCAGCACGCAGTGTTCTTTTTTTTAAAGACTTATATGTTTAATTATGTAAAGACTTAGACATTTATTATGCTCTGTCTGCACGTATGCCTGCAGGCCAGAAGAGGGCACCGGATCTCCTTGTGGATGGTTGGGAGCCACCGTGAGGTTGCTGGGAATTAAACTCTGGCTCTCTGAATGAGCAGCCAGTTCTCTTAACCCGCCGAGCCATCTCTCAGGTCCTGCAGTGTTTGTTCTTAACTCCCCACGATGCACGGGTGCAGCGGCTTGCCCACGGGTATACTGCTAGGTGGAGACAATGTAACACGGCCTTGGTTTCTGGCTCTTAACCCCAGCGTTTTTTTGAATACCGTGACGCTAATTGCGCTGTCTGTCGGCCCGAAATCGCCATCCATTTTATATGCTTGGATTTTTTTTTTTTACGAATTTCCACTCTTCTACCAGTACTGTCTGTCCCTGCTGTATTACATAGTTTTAATTAGGTACTCCAAATTGGAATGCATGTAACAGCATAGACCTGAAAGCCAGCCTGCTGTCACACAGTTGCTGATTTGTTAATCTTGCCTAATGCCTAGCCCTAAATTCAGTGATGCTGCTGGTGTCCTTGGGGTTTTACAGTAGTCTTATTTCCCTTCAATTTTGATGAACTGGTGCTTATAAAAAAATCAAATGGTAGATTCTGCAACCCATTTTCCTGTTGATTTGAGGATACAAAATATTTAATGGTGTCTGCACCCTATTTCTTGTCAGAACGCTGTCAGGAATGACTTGTAGGATCAGTAGGAGATATATAGCAAAAAGACACAGATGACATTAGGTCAGTACAACAAGAAAGGGTTTTAAAACAATACAAAATGAGGTTTCTTAGCATTTTCATATATGTAATTACGTCATTGCTCCTTGCTTTAAGCGCCCTCACTATTTCCTGTCTTCCACTCTTCCACTTGCTGGTCTTCACTCCCCAAATAGCTATTTCATACATGCATGTGCTATATACCATTAAACCAGGTCCCACATAGGAGAAAACATGCAGTATTTTGTCTCTCTTGTTGCCTCTTATTTCCTTCCCCCTTCTCCCTTTAGACCTCTTCCTCCTTCCTCAGACATGCACTTGATTATCAATTAGTTAATCAAGATTTTTTTTTTGAGACAGGATTTCTTTGCTATCCTGAGTCTAGTTCTGTAGACCAGGTTGGCCTTGAGCTCACAGAGATCCACCTGCTTCTGCTTCCCAAGTGCTGGGATTGTGGGCTGCCACCACCAGATCAATCAGTCAAGATTTTACATCTGAGAGAAAACATATTTGCCTTTCTGAGTCATTCTTACTTTGCAACTGAATAAAATGCCATTGTGTGTATATAACAAACTGTAGCCATTCATCTGTTGGTGGGCATCAAGGCTGGTTTAACGAAAGATTTCAAGGGTGGCTCAGCAAGGAAACACACTTGCTGCCAAGTGCTGGATCTCCATCCTGCATGGTGAAGGAGAGAGCAGGTGACCAATTGTATTTAAAGATTCCCACTCTATCCTGCCCTGGTACTAAGCTTGCTGCTTTTGCCCTCAGTTCAGATTTTCTACTTATAGTTCCCTACCATTTCTCCCCATATTCAGCATAACATTTCTTGCATCCTTTGTCTACCTCATTTGGTCCCCACTACTTAACACAGGCCAACTGGGAGACCCTGGAGACCAGGACCTTGTTATTGTATACACTTCTAGTTTTATGGAAGGGTGCAGGTGAGGCAGAATTTGGGCTGTCTGATACGTGTTTAACTATTACCCAAACTGATAAACAGTGTGGTCTATATGATGGAATTATGTTCAGTTGTAAAAAGGAATCAAGTAGTGATAAGGAATCCCATGGGTGACTCTAGAGTACACCGTGTTAAATGCCAGAAGTTGGTTAGAAGACCACATACTGTATGGTCGTATGTGTGTATGCATAAGTTCCATATGTGTACTGGTGTAGGCGAAAGCTTGACATAAGGTATTTCTATTGCTTGCCCACTGAACCTGGAACTTGCCTGTTTGGCTAGGCTGGCTGGTGAGCCAATCCCTGGGATCCTTCTGTCTGCACCTTCTAGTTCTGTGGTTGTGTCTGTCTTTTGCATGGGTGCTGGAAATCTGAACTTAGGTCATTTCATTTGAACAACAAGCACTGCACCACTGAGCCATCTCCCTTTGCAGCTATCTGATATAAGTCCAGAGTAGAGGACATAGAGACTAACAGTGATGGTTACTTAGGGGGTTAGCAGAGGGTGAGTGGGGAGGTGACAGCTAAAGGATTCAGGGGTTTGTGGGCAATGAAAATGTTCTAAAACTGATGAGGGTTGTATACACTGAAACCCATTGAATTGTACACATCCAGTGGACACATTGTATTAATTCTGTCCCAGTAAAGCCTAAAACATGGTGTTTCTAAGCTAAGTATGGAGGTGGATGCCTGTAATCCTAGAATTTAGGAGGCTGAGGCACGAGGATCAATTATGTTCAAGACCAGCATGGCCTTCATAGCAGGACTGTCTCAAAAAGAAAAAAACTGGAGCCTCCACTCCTCCCATTGGTAGTCTTCAAGTATGGCTTGTAACAGTTGTTGTACAGTCTTTTCAGTTTATACCTTGTACATGTTAATTTAAACTTGATAGTTAGACAAGGACAGTGGTATCATTAAACCCTTTTCCTTGGGTTTTGAGTTATGTACAAAAAAGGAAGAATCTCCTGGTTAGCAAGCCATGCTACAGTAGCAGCTCATCAGATGCTGGACAGACAGCTTAGGTTCTGAGACACCAGAACTGAGTCTTAAATGTGTTTATAGTCTGTGCCGTGTTCCATGGGATGCTCCTAGGAGGACACTGCATGAAGGCAGGGTAAAAATGAGCCTTGACTTCTCTCAAATGTGTAGTGACCGTAGCATTTTCTTCCATACAGTGTCAAACTTATAGCTGAAATTACTGAAGGTTTCTGTTATCAAACACCTAAAGGAAACTTTATACAGCTCGATGGCAGCAGCAGCAGCAAACCCCCATCACAGCATCAGCAGCCAACTTAACTTCCTTTCCTCAGGATCATAGCAGCATCAGCACCAGACCCCTCCATCACAGCATCAGTAGAGTCTTACTTTCCCTCCTCACAGTTATAGCAGCAGCAGACACCCCACCACAGCACCAGAAGCAGACTTAACTTCCCTTCCTCATGATCATAGCAACCTCAGCAGAACAACCCATCCCCCATGGTCACAGCACCCTCAGTAGACTCACTTCCTTTCCTCACCCTGTCTCTCTGCTACAAAAACAGCTTTAAAACTCACCGTAGTGGGTGTCAGAAGAAGAGTAAAGCTATGCTGAGCTGAGGAAACTGGGTGTTGAGAAATGTCCTGGATTGTGACCTGTTGCTGTGTCGCTTCCTGCTTCCTGTGGGCCTCTGTGTTTTCAGTCTTCCCGCAGCACCGGTCTGTTTGCGGTGGGGTTTCACACTGTCCAGTAGTGTGTAAATAGTCGACAGCGGGTGCCTCTGCTTCCCGTGTGCCCCAGCCTTATGCGTGCCCTGCCGGCACCCACTCAGCCACTCTCCCAGCCGCTCTGGGGCCCACAGCTGCGGGAGGTGGAGTTCATCAGGAGGGCTGTGAGGTCAGGTTGTTGACACAGACAGAGCTGGCACCTTGTCTGGCTCTTACTGTGCTTCCCTTGTCATCAACCTGCTTCCCTTCAGTTTGCATCCCTCTAAGGATGCATTTTAAAGGGCAACTCAAGAGGAGGAGTATTAAGGTGCCATTGATTTCCTTGCGGTCACAGATTAGAGTTTGTTTGCTTTCTTCTGTGCTGGGAGAATTGAGATGACCCCCCCCTCCACGAGCTTTAACAATTTCTTATTACCATACGTATTAAAAACGTCAGCAAAATCTGATTTTCATCTCTGGTTGCCTCAAGATTGTAGCTGTACAACCAGATTATAGATGCTAGGGTGGTTTTGGTGGGCACTGCATCTCTCCCATTTTAAATGGGCAATAACTGGACATTTTCATGTTTGTTTTTTCTTAAAACTGTGTTCATACTATAAAAATGTGAAGTTTATGATTAAAACTTGTAATAGTGGATAGTGAGATAACATATTAATTACTGGAGTCCTAGACACGTTCTAAACCAGTACATTGAGAAAAAAAAAAGATTTTGATTTTTTCATTAGTATTGAAGAATTTCCTCCAAATCACTTTAATTTTGTCAGTGGAGTTTTGAAGTTGTTGTAGAATTTTATACTTGTAAATTAGATTGTATCCAGTGAACATATCCTTTAAAAGATGAGTTGGGCTGGAGAGCTTGCTCAGTGGTTAAGAGCACTTGCTGCTCTTTCAGATTTGGTACCCATCACCTATGGCAGGCAGCCACAACCACCTGTAATATCTGATAGTATTCTGGCATCTGTACTGACCTGTCCTTGGGGTTCTGACAGGATATGCCCTCAGCTGCAGCCAAGAGCACCGCCTGTGCACATTCACTAAATTCCCTTTTAAAAGGGCCCTGCCCACCTCCCCTCCTCTCTCTCTGTTTCTCCCTCTCTCTGTCTGTTCCCTTCTCCCTCCCTCATCTTACCTCCCACTGCTCTCTGCCCCTCCCTCTTCTCTCCTGCTGCTCCTCTCCTCAGAGGCCAGTCTCCCCCTTTCCTTTCCCCTTTTTATGATCCCTTTCCCTAATTAAAAACTCTGCTTGAACCCTGTCACATGGTGTCTTTCTCTCAAGTGCTGCTTTTCTTAAATTACAATATCAGGGAATGTGTTATCTCTGCTGACCTCTGTGGGCATCTGCACATGTGTGTACACGCACACTCACACGCCCATGCACACACACACATGTACACAGATAAACCTGAATAAATGAAAACGTGTCAGAAGAGTTGTCAAGAAGATGTGGCCTTGGCTTTCTAATGTGTGCTCTATGTGTTTCTGCTTTCTTTCAACGATGGTTCATACCTAGAAATACCTGAGGAAGAAAGGCAGTCAGGCCATGTTCTGCCTGCCAGTTTGGAATCTGCCAGTTTGAAGAAGAACAACTGGGGGCTCTTGTTTCCTGGGATCCTTGGTGGGGCACTGGTGACACTGTATGCTGTGGCTACACCATTTATCACACCAGCCCTCCGGAAAGTGTGTTTGCCGTTTGTGCCTGCAACTTCGAAGCAGACTGAAAATGTTGTGAAGATGTTGCGACACAGAAGAGGATCCCTGGTGGACATTGGCAGTGGCGATGGACGCATTGTGAGTTGTGTCAAAGCATTTTAAGGCTTGGAACCAGAATTGTTAAAATTTCTGCTTTATGTTTCTGATGAGGCTTCTGCAAAGATTTGCCAAATGTGACAGTTTGAAAAGTGTGTGTTTCATTTTGTGTTTGACTAAACCGTTGGACCACCAGCATGTGTTTAACATTCATTTTTCTCTGATTGATTTTTTTCTTCTCGTGGAGGAAAAGTACTCTGTAAACATGCCAGATAGAAAGGAGCAGTTAATTGCTAATTACCAAATAGTCTATTAGAATTTTTGGTCCAGTAAATATGGCATGATTACAAGAAACGTGAACTTGTGGAGTTAAATTACCTTTACTTTTTCGCAGTTTAGATGTTTGCTGTATATTTCTCTGTGTTGATACATGAGTAATAATGATTCCTTGGAGCTGATAGAAAGTTAAAATAAGAAAGGCTATTGGTGAAGTCCTACTTGACTAAAGATAGGAATTCAGGATGGGCATAGATAATTACATATAACTGAAATCCCAGTGCTTGGGAGGTGGAGGCAGGAGGATTATAACTTCAAGGCCAGCTACATGAGGCCTTGTCTTTAAAAAAAATCATCAGAATTTTAGTGACTTTAACATGTTGTGCTCCCAGCCTGAATCTCTGAGTAAAGATGAGGTCATTGACTGGCATGGAGCCTCAGTGTCTTCATCCTTGGGCCGCATCCTGGCAACGAGCAGGAGTCGGGACAGCATGGGGAAAGGCTTGTGTTCTGGCAGCCTGTGGTTGGTGTGCAGACCAGCAGGACTCCACCATATTTCTAGTCCTGTGGACACTGGCTTTGTGTCTGAGACCTAAAGTCATGAAAGAGACACCGAAAGTGACTCAGCTGCTTTAAACATTTCTCGTACTGCGACAAAGTATCGTGAAACGTAATATTTGCCATCTTAACTATTTTTATTTCTGGGATATTAAGTAATTCCCATTATTCACTTGTCATCACTACCCACCACTGAATGCTTCCATCTGGCTGGGGCCGGGCCTTGTGAAGGTTGACTGACTTTATCGTGTGCAGGTGACCATAGCTGTTGTGAGTTTCTGAGGACTGTGGTCTTGAACTGGTTATTATTATTGCACATTATTCACTATTAACTTTCATCCCCCCCCCCAACTGATGGAGAGATGTGCAGATTTCTAGCCATGGTGGTGTTTTTTTTTTTTTTTTACCACCTAGGGTTAGCTGAACAAGCATCGAGGATGCATTTGTCCAACTCAAGACAAAATCTTTGACAAAATACAGAAAATTTTGGGTTAGTCATGTCTTGTCCATGAACTATAGAATTTAGATATAACTTTTCGAGACAGGGTTTCTCTGTGTAACAGCTCTGGCTGCCCTGGAGCTAGAGGCTGGCCTCAAACTCACAGAGATTCACCTGCCTCTGCCTCCCGAGTGCTGGGATTAAAGGCATTCGCCACTACCTGGCTAGATGTAACATTTTTAGACGAGGTCTTCATCAAAAGGAGTAGTAGTTTTTTTTAAAGCTGATATCAATTATATGAAACAGTGGGCTCCGTTGTGAAATTTTGGCCATGTAGATAGTGCACTTCGATCCTGCTCACTCCACCTACCATCTCTTAGCTCCTGTTTTAGTTACTTTTCTATTGTTGTGATGAGACACCATGACCAAGACAACTCATAGAAGAGTGTTTGGGACTTACAGAGGGTTAGGGTTCATCACCATCATGGTGGGTGGGGATCTTGGCAGCAGGCAGGGTTCTGCACAATAGCTGAGAGCTCACGTCTGATCTACATGCAAAAGGCAGACAGCTAGCTGGGAATGGCATGGGCTTTTGAAGCCTCAAAGCCAGCGACATGTCTCCTTGAATAAAGCCACTTCTTTTGTTTTTTGTTGTTGTTGTTGGGTTTTTTTTTTTTTTGAGACAGGCTTTCTCTTTATAGCCTTGGCTGGCTTGGGACCCTCTCTGTAGATCAGGGTGGCCTTGAACTCAAGAGATCTGCCTCCTGAGTACTGGTATGAACCACCAGCAAGGCTACTCTTACTAATCCTTCCCAAACAGTTTCACCAACTGGGAGCCAAGTATTCAATTATATGCTCTTATGGGGGCCATTCTCATCAAAACTACCATATCCCCTCTCCCTGATCCCTTCCTCTTTCCCAGTAGCTCTCAAGAAGTGCCTTTTAATGGACTCTTTTGGGGTTATAAATCCTAGAAAGGGAACTCTCATGCAAGATGACATTTTTCTTTTGTTTACCCCCTGCTCCCAAGGTGATTGCAGCTGCAAAGGAAGGATTCCCGGCTGTGGGCTATGAACTGAATCCCTGGCTGGTTTGGTATTCGAGATACCGTGCCTGGAGAGAAGGTGTGCATGGTTCCACCAAGTTTTATGTTTCAGACCTGTGGAAGGTATGTGACGCAGAGGATGGCACTAGCTAAGCGAAAGGACCTTCTTTAGTCATAGTTAGTGTGACTGACAAGAAAAATAAAGTCCAGTTGAGCGTTTTGGTGTAACAAAGTGTAAGTGCGTTGTGACCTGGTAGATTTGTAGTATGCTGTGCTTTCGTGCAGAGGCTTCAAGTTCGGATAAAAGTCATGTGAATGCTAAGAATTTATTGACTAAATTAAAGCATTTTCTTTTTTTTTGTGAAATAATGATGCATTTCATTTCACTTGGAAATCATAGGTTATTCTTGATAAATATTTGGCTTTTCTCTGTGTGTGCTTGCATGTTAAGAGAGATAAAAATGGATGATAGAAGGAAGAGGTTATGAACCATGCTATGGTGGCTCCTTGTAATCATACAAGTAAGGATTTTCTAAGTATATTTGTACTCTTTATTTTTGTACTTTTTATTTATGTTTATTCTCTTATATATTATATCCCACTACAGTTTCCCCTCCTTCCCCTTCCCCTGACCTTTCACCCCCTACCTTCTCTTTCCCGGATCCTCCCTTTCTCCTCCCCTCAGAAAAGAGCTGGCCTCCCAGGGACATCATCCAAACCAGCAGTGGAGGACTGTTCCCCTTGCTCCACATCCTGGTCAGCAGGAGCTGTCAATTGTGTTTTTGATCTTAGCCATTCTGATAGGTGTAAGATGGAGTCTCGAAATTGATTTGATTTGCATTTCCCTGATGGCTAAGGATGTTTAACCTCTGTTTCTTGGCCATTTGAGTTTCCTCTTTTGAGAATTCTCTGTTTAGATTTATACCCCGTTTTAAAAACTGGATTATTTAGTTTGTTGATGTCTAGCTTCTTGAGCTCTTTGTATATTTTGAATATTAGCTCTCTGCCAGATGTGGGGTTGGTGAAGATCTTTTCCCATTCTGTGGGCTGCCTTTTTGTGCTGTTGATGATGTCTGTAAGTATTGAGGCATCTGTAGCAGCCTGTCCTTGGGGTTCTGACAGGATACACCCTCAGCTGCAGCCACTGAGAGCACCACCTGTGCAATATGCACTACGTTCTCTTCGTGCCTACCTCCCATCCTTCTCTCTTTCTCCCTCTCCCTCTCTCTCTGTGCCCCTCTTTCCTCTCTCCTGCTGCTCCTGTCTCCAGAGGCTGATCTCCCCCACCCTTCTCCCCCCCCCCCTTTTTCTCTATCACATGACAAAGCTTTATTCATCCTTAGTGGCTAAAGAAAGGCAAACTCACAGGCTCTTCACTTGAGTATGGTGTCACCTTCTGCCAGTTCCCTCTCAGTCTGTTTCTTCTTTTCCTCCTCTCCTCCTTTGCCCGGGGTTTTAGGTAACTATAGTGTTTGACGCTGTAGGCCATGCGGAGGACCAGTGCTGAGTATCGGCTGAGCTTGATGAGCGGAGAGACCCAACTGGGGGTGCCATCTTGCCCATGATCTTCGTGCCGGAACCCTTTCTCCTTTTTATGCTTCCTTACCCCTAATGAAAAACCCCTCTGCTTGGACCCTGTCGCATGGTGTCATTCTCATGAGAGCTGCTTTTCTTAAATTACAACTGTCCTTTGCCTTACAGAAGCTTCTCAGTTTCATGAGGTTCCAATATTAATTGTTGATCTTAGTGCCTGTGCTATTGTTTAAAAAAAAAGTGCCTGTGTTTTGTGTTAGAAAGCTTCACAAAGTGCTTTTTCTTAAATAAGAATTTCCCACTGTAACACTGTCCTCAGTAGCTTATAAAAATGCACTTGGATTTTGCTTGCATTGTTTTCAAACTGTATGTAACTAAATGGTCTCCACAGAGTAAATACAACTTTTATTGGGCAATAAGAATTTTGACTGGCAAAGCACTTTTACCCCATTTTTCAACTGCTCCAAAAGCCATTTTATTGAACTTTCAATGCACTGTTCTAGGAAGAGGAAGAGTAGGAGTCTGAAGATGCCGCAGTGTGAAACAGGTAGCTTTAGGTGATTTGACTGGCAGCCTTGATGGAGTCATTGTGAGGACGGGGAGATGAGGCCCAGGATACATCTGAGAAGCTGATGTGTTTGACTGGTGTGCATCACAGTGTGGGCAAGGAGTTCTTTCTGCTGTGCCTCTTAAGGAGGCTCTGCTTGGGGTGTGTGTGTGAGGACCTGCTGCCCGGCCACGTGGGCTCCGGTGTGACAGGGTTACTGTGATTCTTGACTTCTTAGGATTAATCCACCATTTGCTCTCCATCTCGTTTAGGTCACCTTTGCACAGTACTCCAATGTTGTCATTTTTGGTGTGCCTCAGATGGTGAGTATGTGTCACCACATGTAGTGATGGCTTCCCAGTGACTTTGAGGGAAGATTGGATTTTAGTCTGTTGGTTTAATAAAATACTATGAACTTTAAAAATTTAATCATTAAGGATTCAGCCATGTGGGGCGTTGGTGGTGCACGCCTTTATTCCCAGCACTCGGGACACAGAGGCAGGCGGATCTCTGTGAGTTCGTGGCCAGCGTGGTCTACAGAGTGAGTTTCAGAACAGCCTCCAAAACAATACAGAGAAACCCTGTCTCGAAAAACAAAACAAAACAAACAAAGATTCAGCCACATTTTAAAATTTTGGCTTCAGAGAGAAAAAAATCTCAGTGACCCAGGGAAGTCTTAACAATCCCAGTTTGAAAACCTCTTTATGGAGTCCCAGTGTTGAGTGCAGTTGGTGGTTTCCACGGCTGCTCACTCACACGTGCTGCAGTCACTTGGGGAAGTTAATGGGACGTTCCCTTTGAATTGATCATTCTTCAGTTTTGCCGGAAGATAATTTTAAGGGTGGATGAGCATCGACTGGTTTCAATTTCCTCCAATTCACAGATTTGCCAAAGAGCTGAGTATTGAACTTTGATTTTGTACTTTCAAAGTGAAAATGCCACACTATTTTACTGAAAATGGGTTTTTCTAGCCTATGCAGAGGTGGTCAGGGTAGAATGCTTCACTGCCATTGCTGGTTTAGAGACCAGAGAAATCAATCCCTTTTTACTTCTCAGTCTGTAATTGTAACCATAATGATCGTGGCAGAATTGGATGTTTGCTGAAATGACACTATATAACTGATAGGGTTTTTAATCTAAAATAAAAAGGAAATTACATTTCTTTTGTTTTGTTTTCTTATTTATTCCTTAGATTTTTGTTGTTGCTTTTTGAGCTAGAGTATCACTGGCTGTTCTGGAAATGGCTATGTAACTCAGGCTGGCTTTCAACATGCAGCCTCCAATTTCCTATGGTAGAAGTTATGGGCATGTGCCACCATGCCCAGCAACGCTTGGGACTTTCATAGGCAGTGTCTAACTGCTTGAGAAATTGATCCCCACATTGGAGCATTCTTGCTTTTTACAAACCAAAAAGATGGTGTTACAAAAGTGACTGACTGTATACTGTGTCTGCTATGCCGTGAGTAACTCTGCTTTTCTTCTAAAAGTGAAGGCAGGTGTGAGGTCTTGGTCCCTGATCATTTTAAACTTGCTTGGGTCAGGCCTGGGCTCACACCTGCATTCACAGCACTCCGGAGGCCAAGGGAGGAGGCTTACTGTAAGTTTGAGGCAAGCTTGGGTTTCAGAGTAAGCCCCACCCCCATCTCAACTCTCCCCACCCCACAAGTAAAAGTAATTTGGGATCATAGACTAGATACTGAGTTTTGATGGTGGCTAACTACTTACGATGTTTGGGCTTTTCCTTCTCAGATGTAAGAATGAGCGAGCATATTGGAGACAAGTAACTTCAATGTAGAAAGTAGAAAAGTGATTTCCTGGCAATTCTGTGCTGTCTGGAGAGAGGAAGTTAAGCTGAGATGTGGGTTCTGTTGCCCTCCTGCAGTGTCCCAGCTGGGGGCAGCAGTGACCTTTGTAATGCTAAGTGGAGACAACTCTGCTGTGCAGCAGGGTTGGTTGCACAGTAGGGGTTGGTTGCACAGTAGGGTGCTGTTTCCTCAGTGAGTCTTGTTATTTTAAAAAATATATTTGCAATTATTGCTAACTCTCCTGTACACAGACAAATCTTTTTTTTTTTTTTTTTTTTTTGGTTTTTACGAGACAGGGTTTCTCTGTATTGTTTTGGAGGCTGTCGGTCCAGCCCAGCCTGGAACTCAAAGATCCGCCTGCCTCTGCCTCCCGAGTGCTGGGATTAAAGGCATGGGCCACCACCGTCCGGCCACAGACAAATCTTAACCAAGAAATCTCAGCATTTCACTGTTTCTGGGGAGAAAGAGGAGTGGTGGTAATCCACAGCGCATTGGTGTTCCTTAAAAAAGATCCAGTCTTGTTCTGCACACAGTGGGTTGGCCAGGAGCTCATTTGGCATCTTTTGAGCTAGAGTGTCATGAGTGGAATCACCACTTTCAGCCCACGTCAAACTTTGGTCAAGTGGAAGTAGCGAGGGGCCTCAGAGAATACTGCCTGGGAAGTTGGAGACCAGCTTTGTCCTCTTATAGCTGGGTGGCCTGGGGAAGTCCTTTACCTGTCTGTGTAAGGATGCTGTTGCATCCCATTCTCCCAGTACCCCTCACATGAGCTGATGGTCCTCCAAAACCAGCGTGTCATGGCAAGTGTCTCAGGGTAGCTGGTGCACTGACCGGCACTTGGAAGAGCCAGGGGAAGCCTTAGACAAGTATGGAGGAGGACAGCCAGCTTTTAATTCCTCAGCCCTCGCTTTTGATACCAACGGGATTATTCCTGATGACACAGTGCAGTTGCAGGTAGAAATTAGAGTTAACGCTTCAATGTAAAGTATGTATCAAATGATGAGGAGTCCCCTTTGGGCCTGATGAACATTCTACAGGGTTGCAGATACTCATATTTAGCATGAATTTATGCACCAAGAGGCTCTTTCCAAAACGTGGAACAGGTTAATTGAGTCTTTGTTTTAAAACCCTCTGTGAAGCTAGAGATATAGCTCAGTGGTAAGAGTGTTTTTCTGTTGTGAGGCTGGAGATATAGCTCAGTGGTAAGAGTGTTTGTCCGTTGTGAGGTTAGAGATATAGCTTAGTGGTAAGAGTGTTTGTCTGTTGTGCATGAAGCCCTGGGTTCAATCCCTAGCACTGCATAAACCAGATGTGCTGGTGCTTGCCTGTAGTCCCAGCACTGGGAGGTAGAGGCACAGTATCAGGAGTTCAAGGCCATCCTTGGCTACATAGCCTGTTTGAAGTCAGCCTGGATTACATGAGACCTTGTCTCAAACAAACACCTCCCCCCAAAACCAAAACACTAACCCATAAACCCTCTGTGATGTCTTGCTAACTTAGGGAAAGGTCCAAACATGCCATGGGACTCAGACTGGCATGGGGCGGCCCTTGCCCACTTGTGACCTTGTCTTAGTCATTTTTTTTTTTTTTTGGTTTTTTACAAGACAAGGTTTCTCTGTATTGTTTTGGAGGCTGTCGGTCCAGCCCAGCCTCGAACTCACAGAGATCTGCCTGCCTCTGCCTCCTGCGTGCTGGGATTAAAGGCGTGTGCCACCACCGCCCGGCCTTAGTCATTTTTTAAATTAGTTCTCTGCACAGTTCTTTATCTTGTCAGTGTTTGGACTTTACTGTGCTGCTCCCCAGAGCCTGCCTCAGGCCCACTCTGCACTGGACTTAGTGAACACCCACCTTTCTCTCTCTGAAACTGTCCTCCGTGGTCCCATGTTGCATTCAGTGGATATTGTGCGCTGTGCACTTCTGTGCCTATAGGCTTTCTTCATGAGCAGGTGTGGCTGCTGCAACAGAGACAGGGTCTCCTTATCACTTGACTACGGGCGTGAGGGACAAAACATGAACACCGAGGTACCTGGTCACCGTTCAGGAGGTGGTAGGACCTGGGAGAGTGGAGCCGACGAACGAGGCAGACTAACGTCTCAGGCAATAGCCAGATTCATTCAGAGCCTCAGACAGGCATCACAGCAGTAAAGTCCTCATGAGTACAAGCTGTACACAATCACAAGGACAAGCTACACGTGTCAAAACCGTGTTTTCCATAGAGTCATAAAGGATAGTTTAAACATTTAATTCAATAACAACAGCAAGCTGTTGGGGAAGTCCTGTTATTTGCCTGTTATTTGTCAATAAAGTACTGTTGAGCCTATAGAAAACCTAGATAGGAGGGACTAGGAATCCAGGAGGATTCTGGGTAGGAGAAACACAAGAGAGTTCGACATGTGACGCCATTGGGGTAGGAAGCCGGGAACTATTCTCCGGTAAGAAACATACTTAGATTAACAATTATGGGGTAATTACTTAAAGCAGAGCTAGCCAGTAAGAGACAAGCAAGGCCAACAGCTTCATAATTAATATAGCCTCCTGTGTGTTTATTTGGGACTCATGTGGATCTAGAACCAGGCTGGCGCGGCAGAGCCCAGGCGACTGGCGGGGGGATAAACCAAAGCGGCTAGCAAAGGAAAAAGCTTCTCTTAACAGCAAGCAATAATGAGCAATCTGAAGTAAACTCCCCCCCAACCACTACACCTGGGAAGAGCATGGAAACAGTCTGAAAATAATTCCATGTTTTAAAGAAACCAAGGTCACAAGACCCTTGTCTTGTTTTCTTGGAGTGTTCTTGCAAAAGCACTCTAAGTTCCTCTCATATGACTCCATTCTTGGAGTGTGTTCTGACAGTACCTCTATACTAGTGGAAAGAGTATATGTTAAATGAAAAATCTACATAGAATATGCCATATACTAGAAGAGAATACACTCTGGGGGGCTATTGAGAACAGGGAAGGAGCAGGGCTAGGTCAGCATTCCTGAAAGGATGCTGTCCATGAAGAGTCATTCAGGTTGAGGACCTGCATGGTGTGTACGCCTGTTGTCTGGAGAGCAATAAGCAAGTGCAGGTAATGAGGTGATGTGAATTTGAGGTGAATCAAGGAAGGATGCTGGTTCTTCTAAAGTAAGGAACTGGTGAGGATGAGCAGAAGGCATAGAGACTGGTTAGGATAGGAAAAGACCACCACCACTGCATGGAGGTCAGATCTAAGACATTAGAGATTGGGAGACAGTTATGTGCTCTTTGTGGTGTCCAGGTGATAGACTGAGGCTCCCTCAGGGGTGGGTTAGCTGGTGAGAAGATGTCAAATTCCATCTGCACTGCAAAGAGAACCTCAGCAGAGGTCGTGAGCATCTCCAGCACTGGTCAAAGACACAGGAGTCTAGGCCAGCCACTTCTTGTCTTCTGCATCCTGGATGTTTGGTTCGCTAGGAGCTGAGCCGGGAGAGGTATAGGCAGAGCCAGCTGTAGAGGCTCTGTGTGGGTGACAGTGTTGGGTAAGGAAGAGTGAAGTCACTCGCAGTCTTGGGTAAGGAAGGGTCTGGAGTCACATGATGTCTTGGGTATAGAAGGGTCTGACTGTGCACACACCTGACTACATGACCATGGGGCAAGTCCAGGAGGCAGGCAGATCTCAGGGAGGACCTGCCCAAGGCCTGAGCTTTGTCTGGGAAGTGAGGCATAAGTAGCCACAGCTTCAGGAGATTCTGGGTGAGGATGTCCCTATCTCTGGAGCCAAATGGAGGACGAAGGAGGCTGCCAGGTCATGGGTCAGTACCGTCAGCCATAGGTATGTCTTATGCCTGTAACTGATTCAACTCGTGCTTCAAATTTTGAAGCTATGATTAGAATATGATAGTTTGTGGTACTTTGAAACCCATAATTATGTGAATAATTTTGAATTCTATTAGACAGGCATGACACAGCACTACTTCTCCTCGTGTGTGATATCAGGACAGATTTGATGCATATTTATGTGTAATTTAGTCAGTTAATTTCTTATGATTGAAATAGCTTCTTTCATTTTTTAGGTTTATCTTGATTTAGCATATGACAGTCACTCTCAAATAAAAGAAACCATAAAAGTGAATACATTTATAATTATCTTTTTATGAGCAAAATTACCATAAGAAACCTGATATTTTGAAAAATGCATGTTGTCTCATTTTTTCTTATTTAATTTTTCCCTTAAGGAATAATTTCTTTTTTCTTTTTCTTCTTCTTTTTTTTTTTTTTTTTTTTTTTTTTAGTTCTTTGCTGGCCGTTAGAAGACTAGAAATCTTTTCTCTTTAATGGAATTTATTCTCCATTATCAATTCTAATGATGCATTAGAATTTTGGCTTATTCGCTCCATATCTTGGGTTTTTTTTTTTCAAGTCATTTTTTGTAAGACGCTGGGCAAGAATAAAACCTTCACAAGAGCCCTGCTGGTTTCTTTGTCTTGCTGTAGTTACTTTTAGAGGGAGTAGTTTCTGCTTAGCTCTTCATTTCTAAGTATCATTTTTCACTACAGGGAACTAGGAATCCTTGAGAATAGCTGATCTAGGGTTGCAGGAGGGAAGCTTGGAAAATTTTATTGAGCCAAAACACAAAGAAGTATTCAAAGATATTTACTGGGTGTATGTCCAAAGGACAGAGCAACCAGATGCAGGAGGTGCACCATGGTCAAGATTGGGACAGCTTGAACATTAGCATAAGCAAAGTCAACAATGAATTATGAGCCATTGAATGGAATTAGAATATGGATATATATATATGTGTGTGTGTATATAATATATATATATATACATATATATATATTCAATAGATACATGCTACAGGCAGTGAGGCAGAGTGACACAGGAAGGGAAAGCTTGCCCTTGCAACATAATACTAACTGTTCTTCTAGAGCAATGGTTTGCAACCTTCTTAATGCTGTGACTCTTTAATACAGTTCCTCATGTGTGGTGACCCCCAACCATGAAATCACTTTTGTTGCTACTTCCTTGTTGGGGGCACAAGCAAAGAGGTCCTTGTACTTACAGAGAAGTACTAAGAGAACCAGGAATGTTAGTCGTGCAGTGGTGTCTCCTCACTGGAGGAGATAAAAATTCATTCAATACCTACATTCCATCCATAAAGTTCAGAGTAGATTTTGTTAAGGACATGGTGACTTTTTTGTCAACTGTGGAAGCAGACCTCACCCACCTTCTGCTATAGGGGCAGACCTCACCTACCCTATGCTATATATATCTTTAGAGTAGATGTCACCAATACTCTGTGGCCTGCTGACCTCTGCTATCAATCCGAGACCACACTAGATTCTAGGCCTTTTACCTATAGAACCCATCCTCATGGTTACATGTTCTGTGTAGAAGATTCTATGTAGACACATTTTAAGCTTTATTGTTCACCTGGAATTGGACTGATTTGTTGCTTGCAAACCTCTTCCCAAAGTGAACTGTGTTTTAAATATGCTGACAATGAACCACCTGGTATTAGGCTCCCCGAAGTCTGATCCAGGTTGATGAAATCAATCTTCACTGGGTTTTCATTCTTGTCCTTTTGCTGATTACTGTCTGCAGTGACACCTGCTAGGACCTCCACACTTCATAAAACTGTCATTTTGCTACTGTTGTGAATCATAGTGTAAATATCTGTGTTTTCTGATGGTTTTTGGGGATTCCTGTGAAGGGGGTTGTTCCACCCCCAAAGGGATCTCAACCCCTGGGTTGAGATCTGTTGATCTAGAGGAAGGATGGAGTAGCCCGTTGTCACTCTGTGGCCTTCCTAGTAAAAGTTGACTGGATTCAGAACGCTCAGTGTATGCTGTGTCTAGGGCAGAGATGGCCACTAAGGGTAAAGGGAAGATGGCAACACATCACAGAGATACCAGATTCGCCTGAGCAAGTGGTTATGGCACCATCGGGAGCAGGAGGGCCTTCTGGGCTTCTGGAGCCCTGGTGAGTTCACAGGCTGATAGCAGGGCTTTTGCCAGAGACCCACTGAGCCATCAAGAGCAAGTAGCAGTGGAACCTGAGTTGAGGATCTTTGGTCCACTGTCATGAAAGACGAGAAAGATGGGAACTGTCCCAGGTCAGAAGAGGCTGAAGTGTGTATAGCTGGGGTAGAGCCTTGGGTTGACATACGCAAGGCAGACCATCCCTTAGTACCACAAACAAACCAAACAAAAACAAAGAACACTAACCCCAAACTAGGAGACCAAAGAAACCACATCTGGCTGATCACAGAGCTCCTTCCTGGGCGGTACAGGGCACCACTGGGAGAAAAAGACTGAATTGTTCTGGCGTTACTAGGGGCAGAATAAGTTTTCCTGATGTGTGCCTCAGATAGGTGTGTAAGAAAGAGCAGTGTTGGATGTAGCCTCTTCTCAAAGGTTTAGAGACAGCTCATGGGGGCAGAGGACTGTAATGAGCAACAAGGCAGTGCTAGGACTCTGCCGGGGTGGACTGCAGATGGCTCCTTTGTTCAGTTCTTGCAGCTTGGCTGCAAGTTGACACCATCTCAAGATCAGTTAAAAGTAGAAAGTGAAACATTTTTAGAATATGAGGGTGTTAATACATTTTTACAAACTGCAGATAATTTTGAATATTGTTGATGTAATTAAAATGTCAATACTTTCAGTAATATTAAAAACATTATTGGTAGAGAGGCTAATAAAATTATACGAGATTGATATAATCTATGTTATTTAGAAATTCAATGCTGCAGATGCAGCTTGGTGGGGGAGGGGTGCCTAGTGTGTCAGGTCCTGGCCACACCTTGTAGAACTAAACACTGCTAAGGGAAGATGTGCATCACCAGTATATTATACACATGGCGAAAAATTATTTCTTCTTTCCCCTTTTGGGTTTTCAAGACAGGGTTTTTCTGTGTAGCCCTGACTGTCCTGGAACTCACTCTGTAGACCAGGCTGGCCCATCACAGAGATCCTGGGATTAAAATTATTTCTAAGTGGTAGAATGTATACTTTTTCAGGATGCAATTAAACAATATGTCACCGACTCTAGACGTTAATGCTACAGTATACTGTTATAATTGAGAAAAAAACCCAAAAAAACCCAGAGATTGTAATTCTAGGATAATGTCAGTTGTTTGATGTGTTCCAATTCAGAGATGGTAAAAGTATAGAAAAATAGGTCTTAAATACATGAAATACATGCTATATTGAAGTGCTTAAGTAGGTACATCATTCAACATAATTAGTATTTTAATTATTGCCATATCATGATTTTTGTCAGAAAATCAAGAATTTATGATATGTATCTTCTAAAATAGGTTATTTTATAATTGGTACTAGAAGATGTCCTTGCACTGCTGTGAATGTGTCTTCTTGTGTTAATGGATTGCTTGATGAGTGATTATAGGTATCTCCGGGACTTTGAGGTGTGGAAAGGCATGTTGAAGTCCTCTCCTTTGTTGTTTGGGAAACCTAATGGCTGCTGTTCTCCACAGATGCCGCAGCTGGAGAAGAAACTTGAGCTGGAACTTGAGGATGACGCTAGAGTTATTGCCTGCCGGTTCCCTTTCCCACACTGGACTCCAGACCACACTACTGGAGAGGGGATTGACACCGTGTGGGCGTATGACATGAGCACGTTTAGAGGGCGGGAAAAGAGGGCCTGAATGTGAGCATCAAGTGGGTGGGTCATCTAGTAGACCTTCAGGTAGGTCACAGAGCAAACATTCCTTGACATGGAATGGGAAGTCACCGTTGCTGTTCTTACCCTTTGGAGAAAAGGGTCAGGAGCTCAGAAAAACATCTAGGTGTGAAGACAGTTTCACGTAGTCTGGTTTGGCCTTGAATTTTCTGTGTAGCTTAGGATGACCTGAGTGATCCTTCCTCCTCTAGCTTCCCAGTAAAATTGCTCTTCATGGAATATTTTGAATGGGTTTACTACCTGTTCCTACACTCGGATGCTTGAAGATATAAATAATTGAGTCATGTTTATGGGACAGAAGGTTATCATCTCGAAGCAGCATGGTTTAATGCCACAGATGAAGAGGGAGGGGGCAACGTCTGCAGTTTCCTACAGTTTTGTTCATGAGTGAGATGTATCTCCTTTCTGTAGTTTGTAGCTAAATTAATTTTATAAAAGATTCAGATAGTGGCATTTATATTTTGTAATGTTTATAAAGAATATATTGCCCTAATACTGGTAGCTTGCTGTACTTTATTGATTGAATATGTATATGTGCATGTTCAACTGTGTGTCAACAGTCTATGTAACAATCACATGCTTTAAAATTGGGAAAATTGTGACAAATTGTGCTTGGCTTTAGCATTGTTATACATTTGGCGTTACCATGAGTAGCATCTTAGTTTTAATGAGGCCCAGGGAGAAGTTAGTAAGGGCTTAACATTAGTGATCGAGCTCTGGAACATGAGTTGAGTTCCGGTTCTTAGCAGGAGGCCTTGGGCAGTGACTTAGTATCTCTGAGCCTTGGTGTCTGCTGCCAGGACAGTGACACATTGAGCATGGGTCTGAGGGACAGTTTTTAAAATTCTCTGCAGTCTTTGGTCTGTAAATGATAAAAGTAAAGTTTATACAGGGAAGTTACAGATTATTTCTACTAGTCACTTATTTTATGAGAACAGTCATTTATTTAACATTTCTCACAAGAATAGACTTGACTGATTTAGGTAGAAGACAAGTTAGGGAAAACCTTTGATTGTGGGTAGACGGGCTTCATAGATCTGAAAACTGAATGTTGAATGATGGCATGGCAGCAACTCATCTGTCTGTAACAGAAAAGAATGAGCTCTGCTCCTACACTGGGACCCTATGAATTGAAAAGATGACTGAATATTTAGATAAACATAAGAATAGCATTTGATTCTTCTCTTGTAAGTGAGGACCAACTGGAGACACATGCATTCTGTCACTCATTCATCACATGCTTGATGTCTGGCGAAGATGCGCTGATTCATGAGAATACACGCCTGACTCATGACCTCCAGGATTTCATGTGTACAAGACTGAAGCAGATAGTAAACTTGAGTGTGTGTGAGGTTCTCTGAAGAAATGGAAGCTTTGTGTGTTTATGGGGAGCCCACGGAGGGTGTAGGCATTACATCATTTGTTGCTTGCTGCTGTCTTTCACTTTCCAGGTCTCTGATTTTCCTGTGAAGAGTGAGTTCTGCTGCATGGGTGGGTGGTTTTGGTGGGAGCACAGGCATTGCTGTCCATCTCTTGCTCTCACCTCCTGCTCTATCTACTGCTGTGATATTCTGGACACATACTGAGAGGGACCACCACAGCTCCTTGCCAGTAGATGTGGGGTCTTTTGTACCTTGGGTGTATTCCATAGTTTTCTGTATGTTTCTGATGGGTTTGTAAAGGTATCAAACTACAGTCATGTATAGCTTACCATTTCCCCCTTTAACGTGGTAAGCATTAGCTGATGCTAGGTTCTGCCATCTCAGAGTGTCTTAGAAGTGTTTTGGCCAATTTCTGTGAGGTTATGAATTAGACTTTGACATGGCACTTTGTTAAATAAACAGTGCAATGAAGACTTTTCTAGTGGAAGATAGGGCTCCTCTGTTTGAATTTTTTTCAGTTACTAGGTTAAGGACACTGATCAAGTTTGCTTACAACAGTTATTTGAATGTCAAAAGTAGGTTCATGTCTGAACAGATGAATCAGAGTGCAGTGCCAACTTGATAATATTCAAAGCTAAAGAAGACAGCGTGGCAGCCTGGAGGGAGCTGTTGACAAGTATGTGCAAGCCCAGCATCACTCCTTGCTCACACATGTTTTGTTCCAAGGGGTCCTTGCTCATCAGCATGAGCTCCTTATTGCTCATATACCCTGGTGTGAGACTGTGCTGATCAACATTGGAAAGCCTTGAGGATCCTTGGGAAGATGTAGACAAGAAGACCATGCCCAGTAGAAACGCACTCTGTGAAGTCACCTGAAGCTAGGCTTGCCTTGGATCATGAAGTTCCTTCCTGTGGATGGAAAGCAGAAGCTGGACAGCCACTTGGTGGGGATGTTGCAGAAGCAATGTTTGCAGCGTACCCGGGTCACAGGATGATCCAAAGTGATGGGGGTTCTCCACTCTTCCCAGGCTTCCTGAATCATTTGTACAGACCTCTAAGGCCAGGATAATAATGTGGGTGTGATTCTCGCAGGATTTCCCACTACACAGGTATAAGTTGCTCCTAGTTGTTTTTTCCCTGTAGGTTTGCAGAACAAGTGGTCAGGGTACTGGAATGCTGATGAATCCAAATTATAACGAAACAGCTATGATGTGTGAGGCCTTAGTAAAGCTGGGCTCTAAAATTTCAGGACTGGGGGTTAGCTGGAATGTACGTAGTAGCTCATTTAAGAAACACCTTTTTACATTACTTTTGTGTGTGTGTGTGTGGGGTACCACTGCATGTGCAGGTCAGAGGACAACGTGTGTGAATCAGTTCTGTCTTACCATGTAGATCCTAGGGGTCAAACTCAGGCCATCAGGTATGGTGGCATGGGTCTTTGCTCACTGAGCCTTTTCCTGGCCCATGGACACAGTTCCTGAAGCCAATTGTCTGCATAGGTCACTGATGGTTCTTCATCTTCCCGTAAGGGAGACCGTCCACTCTCAATCTTGTCAAGAGAGCAGCCAGTTGGGGGCCCAAACAGCCTTCCAATTCTTCCTCAATCATTTGAAACAGGTTTGAGTATCTCGGTTGAGTCCGGACACAGTCTTGGCGGGTGGACTGTGCTGGCAGAGAGAAGTGAGGAACTAGTTGGACTTTGTTACACTAGTGAACATGAAGATGGGGCCCAGACATCAGAGTTAAGGGCTAGAGGGCTGAGACCAGAGGAACTGTAGTGCTCATTGGATCCGCAAGTTAACAGACTTCTGAGCATGCGTGTCGTGGTCCTAAGTGGGAGGAGCCAGCCTACGGGACCAGAGACCCTTGGGAACAGAGTCCAGTCTGCCCTTATTTTGCTCAGACGGAGCGAACTGTTCCGTGAAGGAGTTCATTTATAAAATAGGTCATTTTTAGAACCAATGAAAATACCACTTGCCAAAACAGGTATTAAGCACAGGGAACTTATTATCCCTAAAGACAGTGTGGACCATATTCTTCAACAGGAAGGCGGATATTTGTATAAGCAAAAGGGTAGCTGCATCTAAATAACACAGTAATGTCTCTCAGCTTGGAAACTGCTGGTGGTTTGAGAGTCCTAGGCAGAGTGCCTTCCTTTAGATTGAGGTGCTCTGTAATAACGACACATGATTCTCTTGGAAGCGGCACACTTGTGACTCAATGAACTGATGCAAATTGAACATGAGCAAAAGGACCATATAACTTTTATAGGTGGGGGACATTCGATGTCTTATTTTTCTAATTTAATATTATGGTGTGAACATTATCCAGGAAGGATTGATCAAACACTGGCTCATTGATCTCGGGGCTTAATCCAAGGGTGGAAGGGAGACATTGAGTTAGTTTTCTTCGCTGTCACATTGCGATGGGAAATAAGCATCAAGTCCAACTCTTTATGAGAACACAAGCTCCAGAGTTTGGTGGGTGCATTCAGGTAGTGGGGTCTTACAGGGCTTGCTGCAAATTCATCTCTCTCTCTCTCTCTCTCTCTCTCTCTCTCTCTCTCTCTCTGTGTGTGTGTGTGTGTGTGTACAGAATGACAGTGTGGCAGAACCCATTGGACTAAATCCCTAGAAGTGTAAGTATCAGTTGGCGAACGTACAAGACAGGCGAGGCTTCCAGCTCGATTGTGATCTTCCCTCTGTGCTTCCCCCGTGGCTGGTTGGTCCCAGGTGCATTGCAGATCATTTTAGCATGTGGCCCTTTGTTCACCTAGCCACTGGTGTTCAACTTAAACCTTGATTACTTACTTACTGCTATCTCCAAAAGTATTAGCATTTTGTCAAAGATTCTCTTTAACATAAGTTTCATTTTGGTAAGACTGAAAAAAGTTAATGTCAGGGTCTTCTGCTGTTCCTGCTCACCACACTGCACACCCTTGGCAGCTCAGAAAGACAAAGCTGGCCCGCCGTGAGTTTTTTCTTCCTGAACATGTTACTGCTGAAAAGTCCAGCTGAGAAACCGTGATGGTGTTGTCGTGTGTTAACTTGTCTACCATAGGCCTTACATGCATCAGAGAACGTCATGGGTGTGTGGTACACGGCTGTCATTCCACACTTGGGAGATGGAAGCAGGGTCAGGAGTTCAAGGTCAGACTCAGCTACATAGTAGATTCAAGGGCAAGCTAGATTACATGGAACCTCGTTTCAGAAAAAGGGGGAAAAAATAAAATTATGTGAACTCCGCAGTGTAGACATGCCATGTAGATTGTGACACATTTGATAAGGCTCATGCAGTGTTTAAATCTCCTACTCCTGACTGACAGTAAAGACTCACATGTATTTCCCTTATTCGCCCTTCTTGGCCAGCGCATGGGGAAGGCACTGCTACCACAAGTCAATCCCTTTGGCTGCAAGAGCTCAGATATTAGCAACGTCTGAGTAGCTTTTTCTGTCAGGTGTGATAGAGGCAAGATTGAGGGGTTCGTGGAGACTTGCACTAAGGTTTTACTTCTGAGGCCAGGTGATGTGTCACAAGGTACAGTTATCTGATAGGCCATTAAAAAACTGGCGAAGGTGAAGCCTGTTACATTGGAGACTACAGGATGTTGGAGATGCCTGGATCATGGGCTATCTACTAAGAAAAACTGCAGGCATAGAGTGGAGTTGGTCAAAGAGACGTAACATTTGCTGTGATTTGCAGAACTGGAGGAGTGAGTCTGCCTAAGGCTATTGGAACCCAGATAATTTTATTTTATTTTTTATTTTTTATTTTATTTTTTTTTTTTATTATATTAATATTTTTTTTATTTTCCATTTTAAATTTAGATAAGAAACAAGGTTGCTTCACAAGTCAGTACGAGGTCCCTCTCCCTTTCCCTCCCCTCCTCCTGTGCCCTCCCCCCATCCCCCCCTTATTTTTTATTTTTATTTTTGGTTTTTTATGAGACAGGGTTTCTCTGTATTGTTTTGGAAGCTGTTGGTCCAGCCCGGCCTCGAACTCACAGAGATCCGCCTGCCTCTGCCTCCCGAGTGCTGGGATTAAAGGCGTGTGCCACCACTGCTCGGCTCCCAGATAATTTTATTATGAGCCCCATATGCTACACAAGTAGAGTTGGAGGTATTTGCCTGCTGGGCACTGGTGTAACCTCTGGGACGTGTGGTCTAGCTGAAGGAAGTTAGATCATTGGTGACATTCCCTCAATGGAATTTGGGAGAGTCAGGC